GGTTTTCTGGGCAGGGCAACATGTCACTGTGATGTGACACTATGTGGAGGAGGGGTCTGAGAGGTAACATTGCCGATTGCTCTGCTCTTAACAGGCTCTCAGTCAATTCCCCCACTACTCACAATCTAATTTGGCTGTTGTGCTGCTGATTCCCAGGTTGGTGGGTTTGTCTATGATCTAGTACCCTGTGAGTTTGTCCAACAAACTCTCCTGTGAGGCTGGGAGTTTCACCCACTGCTGCCTCGACCACCACAGGGTTTTTCAGTCAAAGGTTTGGAACCTTTTATTTTCCACACTGGAACCCTGGGTTGTGTGGTAGTTCTCGCTTCCCAGGTGTTCCTCCCAGTTTATCAGCACACGAATCTGGGACTGCCCAGTCCGACAGCTACCGCCCTGCCAGACCAGGTCCTACAGCCACTGCCTTTCTGTGAGTCCTCTCCACCCAGCTACTCATCTCCACCCCTCCTACCAGTCTAGATGAATATTTCTTCTTTAACTACTTGGTTGTTAGACTTCCATGAAGTTTGATTTTCTATCAGTTCTGGTTTTTTTAAATTTGTTGTTTTACTCCTATTGTTTGTGCGAGGAGGCACAGTGTGTCTACCTAAGCCTGTATCTTACCCAGAAGTCTCTTTTTCTTCTTGATGAGTCTGCTTAAAGGCATGTCAATTTTGTTTATAACTATAAAGAACCAGCTCCTGGATTTATTGATCCTTTGATTATGCTTTTAGTCTCCATGTCATTTAATTCTGCTCTGATCTTGGTTATTTCCTTTCTTCTACGTCCTCTGGGCTGTCTTTGTTGTTGTTCCTTGAGCCCTTGTAAGTTTATGTTTAGGTTTTTTATTTGAAATGTTTCTTTTTTAGGTAGACCTGCATCCCTATGAACTTCCCTCTCAGGACTGCCTTTGCAGGAAGAAGAGTTTGGGAGTCTTTCATCTTCTTGAATGTTTTGGAATAGCCTGTGAAGGATAGGGGTTAGCTCTTCCTTAAATGCTTTGTAGAATTCTCCTGTGAAACCATACAGTCCTGAGCTTTTGTGTATTGGGAGTTTTTTTATTACTGCTTCAATTTCCTCTGCTGTTATTGGTCTGTTCAGGCTTTCTCCTTCTTCATAGAGTTTTGAAAGCTTATATTTTTCTAGAAATTTGTCCATTTCACCTAGGTTTTCAAATTTCTTGGCATGCAGTTCTTCATAGTAATTTCTTACAATCCCTTGTATTTCTGTGGTATCAGTTGTAATTTCGGGCCTTTCGTATTTTATTGTGTTTATTTGGGTCCTCACTTTTTCTTGATGAGCCTGCTTAAAGGCTTGTCAATTTTGTTTATTTTTTCAAAGAACCAGCTCCTGGATTTATTGATTCTTAGAATTGTTCTATTAGACTCTATGTTGTTTAATTCTGCTCTGATCTTGGTTATTTCCTTTTACTTTCTCTGAGCTGTCTTTGATCTTCCTCCAGTACTTGTAGATGTAGGGTTAGGTTGTTTATTTAAAATGTTTCTGTGTTTTAATGAATCAGAAGAAGCAGAAATCAAGGAAAAATCCCATTCGATATAGCAAAAAGAAAAATAAAATATCTGGGAATAAACCTAACCAAAGAGGTAAAAGACCTGTATGCAGAAAACTACACAGCACTGAAGAAAGAAATCAAGGAAGACACAGACAAATGGAAACATATACCGTGTTCATGGATAGGAAGAATTAACATCATCAAAATGTCCATACTACCCAAAGCAATATACAGATTCAGTGCAATACCTATTAAAGTACCAATGGCGTATTTCACAGACATAGAACAAACACTTCAAAAATTTATATGGAATCATAAACGAGCCCGAATAGCAGCTGCTCTTTTGAGAAAGAAGAACAAAGTAGGAGGGATCACAGTACCTGATATCAAACTGTATTACAAAGCCACTGTAATCAAAACAGCCTGGTACTGGCATAAAAACAGGCACATTGACCAACGGAACAGAACAGAGAGCCCAGAAATCAACCCAACCCTCTACAGTCAATTAATATTCGACAAAGGGGGCAGTAACATAAAATGGAGTAAAGATAGCCTCTTCAGCAAATGGTGTTGGGAGAGCTACGTGCAAAAAAATGAAACTTGAGCACAGACTTACACCATACACCAAAATAAATTCAAGGTGGATAAAAGACTTAAATATAAGCCATGACACCATTAAAGTCCTAGAGGAGAACATCGGCAAGAAAATCTCAGATATTCCACGCAGCAACATTTTTACTGATATGTCCCCTAGAGCAAGGAATATAAAGGAAAGAATAAACAAATGGGATCTCATCAAAATAAAAAGCTTCTGCATGGCTAAAGAAAACAGTATTAAATTAAAAAGACAACCAACTGTATGGGAAAACATATTTGCCAATGATACCTCAGACAAAGGTTTAATCTCCAAAATATACAAAGAACTTACAAAACTCCACTCTAGGAAGACATCGAACCCAATGAAAAAATGGGAAAAGGACTTGAACAGACACTTCTCTAAAGAGGACATACAGAATATCCAGAGACACATGAAGAGATGCTCAATATCGTTAGCTATCAGGGAGATGCAAATTAAAACCACAATGAGATACCACTTTACACCAGTCAGGATGGCTATAATAGACAAAGCAACAAACAACAAATGTTGGAGAGGTTGTGGGGAAAAGGGGACCTTAGTTCACTGTTGGTGGGATTGCAGACTGGTACAACCATTATGAAAAACAGTATGGAATTTTCTCAGAAAAATAAAAATCGACCTGCCTTTTGACCCAACAATTCCACTGCTAGGATTATACCCCAAGAATCCTAAAACATCAATTTCAAAGAACCTATGCACCACAATGTTCATAGCAGCACAATTTACAATAGCCAAGAGTTGGAAGCAACCTAGGTGCCCATCAGTAAATGAATGGATCCAAAAATTGTGGTACATATACACCATGGAATTCTATGCAGCAGAGAGAAAGAAGGAGCTACTACCTTTTGCAACAACATGGATGGAACTGGGAAGCATTATGCTGAGTGAAATAGGCCAGGCATTGAAGGACAAATACCATATGATCTCACCTTTAACAGGAAGCTAAAGAATAAAACAAACAAGCAAACAGAATAAAAACAAAGACGCTGAAATAGAGAACAAGTGGGCAGCAACCAGAGGGGAGAGGGAAGGGAAGTTAAGGGGGAAAAGGGGGAGGGATTTTGAGGAACAAGTATGAAAGACACAGAGATGAGGACTGGGGGGGGGAATGGGAGGGAGGGGGGAGACCGGGCGGGGGTGGGTGGGATGGGAGAAATAGATAAAAAAAAATGTACTTGAAAAGTAACTAAATAAAATTTAATATTAAAAAAAATGTTTCTGTGTTTTTTAGGTAGGCCTGTATCACTATGAATTTCTCTCTCAGGACTGCCTTTGCTGTGTCCCATAAGTTTTGCATTGTTTTGAGTTCATTTTCATTTGCTTCCAGAAACTTTTTGATTTCTTCCTTGATCTCATTCTTGACCCATTCATTGTTTAATGGTAGGATATTCAATCTCCATGAGTTTGAATATTTGGGTTTTTTTTCTTGAGATGGGTTTGTAGTTTCAGGCTCTTGTGGTCAGAGAAAATGCTTGACATGCTTTCAATTTTCTTGAGTTTGTTGAGTCTTGCTTGTTTTGTGTCCTACCATGTGGTCTATCTTTGAAAGTGTTCCATGTGCATGTGTAAAAAATGTGTATTTTGCTTCTTTGGGGTGAAAGGCTCTACATATATCAGTTAAGCCCACTTCTTATAGGATATTGTTCAACATCACAGTATCTTTATTGATATTTTGTTTGGAAGAACTATCCGGTTTTTAGAGTGATGTGTTGAAACCCCCTACTATAATTGTGTTGCTGTTGATATCTTTTTTTAAGTCCTCCATGATTTTCTTTATGTATTTGAATGCTCCTATGTTAGGTGCACATATGTTTCCAATGTTTATGTCTTCTTGATGGATTCTTCCTGTTAGTATTATGAAGTGACCTTCTGGGTCTCTTTTTATGACTTTTTTTTTGAAGTCTAGTTTGACAGATATGAGCATTTCTACCCTGGCCTTTTTTCCCTGTCCATTTGCTTAGAATATTAGTTTCCAGCCTTTCTCTTTCAGTCTGTGTAGGTCTTTTGTTCTGAGGTGAGTCTCTTATAGGCAGCATATGTGTTGGTCATATTTTCTTATCCATTCTGCTATTCTGTGTCCTTTGATTGGAGCATTTAATGCATTTATGTTTAAGGTTATTATGGATAGGTAGTTATTTCTTGCCATTTTATTTCCTTTGTACTTGTGTTTATCTCTCTCTCAATCTTTTTTTTCTTCATTTTCATAAAGCAGACTCTTTAGCAACTCCTGCAGGGCTGATTTGTAGGAAGTGTTTACTTTGAGCCTTCATTTGTGTGGAAAACTCCTTATTTGTCCTTCCATTTTGGTTGAGAACCTTTCTGGAGAGTGTAGCCTTGGTTTCAGGCCTTTGTTTTTTAGTACTTGGAATATTCCTTGCCAGTTCTTTCTGGCTTGTAGCATTTCCATTGAGAAGTCAGCTGCTAGTCTTATCTGGGCTCGCTTGTATGTACCTCCTGTTTCTCCCTTTCTGCCTTTATGATTCTCTCTTTGTCTCGGAATTTTGCCATTTTAATGATGATGTGTCTTGAAGTGGGCCTCTTTGGGTTCCTCTTAATTGGGACTCTCTGTGTCCTGTATGTGTGTGACTTTTTCTTTCATCAAATTAGGGAAGTTTTCCATCATTACTTTTTCAAGCAGGTTTTTTATCACTTGCTCTTCTTCTTCTCCTTCTGGTATCCCTATTATGTGGATATTATTATGTTTCATGTTGTCCTCCAGTTCCCTTAACACCTTTTTATTTTTTCTGAGTCTTTTTTTATTTTCTTGGTCTTTCTGAGTGTTTTTTTCCTACCTTGTCTTCCAGCTCGCTGATTCAATCATCTGCTTCATCTAGCCTGCTTTCGATTCCTTCTAAAAATATGGACTGCTTCACAAATTTGCTTGTCATCATTGTGCGGGGGCCATGCTAGTCATCTCTTTCTCATTTTAATGTTAATATATATGCTGCCAAAGTGAGTACTATTTCACTGTTTTCTGATTTAATCCTCATCAATTCCTGCCCTATACTTTCTCTGGATTTTTTTACTGTGCTTTTAAAAATTTCTGGAGATTTTAGCTTAACTCATTTAGTTTCCAATTTCAATCCATTTATTTTCCATTTGTTTTTATCTTCTAATAAATGAATTTAAGGCAATACATTATTCTCTGACTATTTCTCTGATTGTATCCAACAGAATTTGATATATATTTCTGTTATCATTCAGATCAAAAGCATTTGTAGTATCAATTTAAATTCCTCTTTTATTTAAGAGTTATTTAGACATGTGTTTGAGTTTTCAATTTAGAGATGTATATTGCATTGAGCCTGTGTCATGGGAGTGGGTAGGTGATTTGCTTCTTACTGCTGATTTCTAATTGTTTTTTATTCCTGCATGACTGGATTTTGAATCAATGTTCTCATTCAGTACAAACAGTAATTGTCTGGTGTGTGTCCCTGTTTTCCAACTTGCAAGCAGTGTGATTTTGGGTTTTTTTAATATATTCAACACTACTTAGGACTAAACATTTGGGGATATAAGAAATTTGAGTGAATGTCAGCTCCCAAAAGTCAGTTGATCTACTGAGAGAAGGACAGCTCTTTCCTTTTAGAGCTACTTCTTCAGGATTTGAAAGAATGTATTTGCCTCATGAATCCTTTTTGCCAGGCAGGATACATCTACCACATTGATTCATCTGATTCTAGTGATTTGTAGCTATGCTGATGAGTCCTGCCTAGTAGGTGATGGGCACATCCCATATCTCCCTTGAGATTGAGGAAATAGAATCTTCAAAGTTCTCTTTTGGAAAAAAAATTCATCTGTCTATGGAAGTTAGGAGTTTTGGCCATTTTTGATTCTACTCAACACTACTGCCTTCTTGCTCTTCTAACACACAGTGTCCATAGGAAAGGGAATAATTGATATATTACCTCAGAAACTATGGTATTTATTTTCTTATGTTTATAACTCTTGAGTAGTTGTCTCCCCATTTATATATTTAAGGTTCTTGAATCCAAGGACTGCATATTACCTAGTTCCACAGTAGTTTCTCAAGTACTTAATACAGAGCTATGCAAAATGAATGCATCAGAAAATGCTTGTTGAAAGAATAAATGTAATGGGTGGATAAGGACAAAATATTATTAGCAAAATAAAACAAAACTAAAACAAAATGCACCTTTCCCTGCTTAACAGTCTGGATGGGTGTTTCATCTCCCTTTATACCTTACTTGTAAGAACATAGTCTTATTGCCTTGTGACATATTGTGTATATCATATCACAGGACAGGGGCCTTCTTCAGGCTGCAGTTGTGGTCTCTTTTTTCTTCCACTGCTACTCTCAATCCACATGTGCTGCCTGATTCATATATCCTGAGAATGGTGGGTGTTAATTTGTTTTTCAAATGAATAGGGCTATTTTCTTCCAACCGCACCCCAGCAGAGTGTTGTTGGGGTTTTTTTTGTTGCTCACATCCTTTGCTTTTAATGTCCTTGCTTCCTCAGTGATCCTTAATTGGACTCTTTTGCAGACTGACTGTCATTTTTTTCTCACTTCAGTATCATTAATGACAGTGCAGGATAAAGCAAGACCTGACAGTGAATTCTGCTAACCTCCCTGCCAGATATCCCCGTGCAGTGCACTGGATTATCTATTAGGTTTTTCATTTTTTATGGCCAATTTTGTACTCATTTAAGCTATTACAAAGTGATTTTTCATTATATGGGCACAAGGTAACTGTGCAACAAAGGAACAGACTGACTGGGATTCCAGGAGAGTCGCACTAACCCAGAGCTGTTCTGAAGCCCCTATCTTTCACTGCTGAAGTTGATCGTCTCTGTGGACAGAACAGGTTAGTTTTGCCCTGTGTGTACTTCCCATGAGTTTAGTAGTACTCTGTGACTTCAAAATGGTTGCAGTCATGTGTCTAGTCAGGGCATGCCTCAAATGGAGCCATCTTGGCTTTCTGAGGCTGAGCTATGTTTGATGCAGAAAAATCTTTGCAATTCAGGTTGAACTGGGCCAGGCATGAGAAGTGAAAGCTTTTTTAAGGAACAAGGATGTATTTTTTAAGATTTTATTTACTTATTTTTAGACATAGGGAAAGGGAGGGAGACAGAAAGGGAGAGAAATATCAATGTATGGTTGCCTCTCACACGTTCCCAACTGGGAACCTGGCCCACAACCCAGGCATGTGCCCTGACTGGGAATTGAACTGGTGAACCTTTACTTTGCAGGCTGACACTCAGTCTACTGAGCTACACCAGCCCAGACAAATAAGGATTTTTTAATCTAATGTTAAGGGCTTTGTGTATTTGTAGTCATCATTATATCTCACAAATAGCTCTTTCAAATGATTCATAGACCTTAGATTTCAAAAGGACCTTGAGGCTATCTAATGTAGCTCCCTCCCTTCAGCTAGGAGTGCTATTGTGATCTCCCTTTACAAGTGAGGCAACTGAGGCCTACAGAAAATACCATTCTGTAGTCCCGGAATCATCTGAAGACTCTGTACTTGACCTTGCTACTGTTTGTACTTTGCTTGCATTGTGCTATTCTGTCTGAGTCACTGCTTTGATCTGATGATGATCTCCAAAGAGTCCAAACATGTTGCTACAGACTGGGCACCTAGGAAGAAAAATTTTCACTTACATCTCCTTATAATGGAGGGCAGACCTGACTCACTCATGTTTGCCTATAGAGAATTGTTTTATCCTGTAATGCAGTGATACTTTCCCTCAGACTGTGGAGTGCATGTGCTTCTTCATGTGCTTCTTTCATATGCATCCTGCCACTTCCCAACCTTTAATGTCTATATTAAAATATTTTCCAGTTATACTTTATGGGGTAAATGTACTGATCTGGTGACTCTCAGATTTAATGAATTATTACATATCAGACTTCAGAATTCATGTAAGTGGTCCAATCTAATGAAGCAGCCTGTTGCGTACTTATATTATTTAGCTAGATATTAAAAGTGTTTTTGGAGAACTCTTATATACACCATTGAGGAAACCAGTTCACAGAGGACATATTGGTCTTTGAAAACTGGTAGAACTATGAAATAGTGAATAATTAACTGGCCATCTGTGTGGCATTGGACACATTATTATAAACTTTCTGTACCTTAATTTCCTTAGCTTTAATGGAATAATAAGATATGCCTCATGAGCTTATTGCAAGGATTGAGATAATCTACATAAAGAATTTAGCTCACTTAGTGTCTACCACATTATAAAGATTTAATGCATTGCTATTGTTATCATCATTATTATCATTACCATCTCTAGCTACAATTTCAGGGTTGTTGTAAGACTATTAAATAAAATGATATAAACTATATAGCAGGGTTTCTTGTAGATTCTGAAAAATAATAACTTATAATTATGGTTATTAAAGTACTGGGAGTAGAACATGAAGCTGTAACATTCCTGGAGTATGGCTTCTTTGGTCACATATGTGGTTTATCTTGAGCAAATAGTGCTCACATTTGAACAGCACTGTTCAAATTTTTTAATGCCAGTCCACTTGTTTCCACCAGAGCTCAAAGTGATAAATATTATGGAACCCTTTAAAATAGATCATTTTTCTGAATTTTCCAATTAATCCTTTGTCAGTTTTCTAAAAGTAGTACTAAAACATGGTATTACCAAGGTGGCCAACTAACAGACACACATATTTTTAGGTGTGCTCTTATTACTTGGTCTCAACCAGCCTTCAATTTAAGCATCCACCCTCACTCTCTACCTCCTACATAAACACCTAGCTAAACCTGTGTGCAGGAAATCGTTAGGGGTGATTCAGACAGACCTTGATTCTACTCCAGGATGCAGCATTTGCTAGCTCTGTGACCTTGACCAAGTCTCTGAATATGTTTTAATGTCAGTTTCCTTGACTATAAAACTGATATAGAAATAGTTACCCAACACCGTATCTAAAAGCCTTAGAGCTAAATAAGATTCATAACTCAGTTTTTTTTTTAAATGCTGCATGGTGTACAACACCTTCAGTGGGATTTGGATTAAAATTCAATTATCATTCACATCAATATTTCAGCAAAGAAACTTATGAATATTTACAGCAAAAGAGTATCACAGCATTTGTCACTGTATACATTTTGACAGGAAACATAAAAAACTATGGTTTCCAGACCTTTCTGGAATTAAAATTTTTTTTTACATTTTTTCTTTTTTATTGAATTTATTGGAGTGGCATTGGGTAATAAAATTGTATAGGTTCCAGGTGTACAATTCTATAATACATGATCTGTATATTGTATTGTATATTCACCATCCCAAGTCAACTTTTCTTCATCACCATTTATTCCCCCTTTAATTTCTTCTACCTCCCTCACACTTTTTTCCCTCTTGTAATTATCATACTATTGTCTCTACCCAGCAAAGCTATCATTTGATATCAATGATATCAAAGCTATGATTTGGAATCAAAGGGCAGATAAAGGATTCCTAGACACAAAAAAACTAAAGGAGTTTATCATCACTAAATCATTATTATGTGAAATGTTAAAGGACTTATTTAAGAAAAAGACCAGAACTATGAACAATAAAATGGCAATAAATACATATGTATCAAAAATTGAAAAAAAATTGAACCTAATAAATAAATTAAGCAAACAAGAAGAACAGAGACAGAAACATGGGTAGGGAGAGCATTTTGATGGTTGCCAGATGGGAGGGGGGTGTAGGAGAATGGGTGAAGAGATGAGGGGACTAAGAAGTACAAATAGGTAGTTACAGAATAGCCGTGGGGATGTGAAGTATAGGATAGGACATGGAGTAGCCAAAGAGCTTATGTGCATGACCCTTGGACATGAACAATTTTGGGAGGATTGCCTGAAGATGTGGGGGTTGCTGAGTAGAGGGGGGAAAAGGGGAAATATTAGGACAACTATAATAGCAAAAGTGATGAAATATAATTAAAATAATTTTATTTTTTGTTTGCTGATTAATTTCATGTTAAAAA